GTAACAATAATTTTATGACTCAGTTGGTATAACTTAAAGAATACTGGAGCGGAATGAGATCATGGCCAGAGAATAGAGAATGCTATTAGGGTTATGGTAAGAGGCAGCAGCTGGAGGATGAGTGTGGGCTGGGGAGAGAAAAGGGAACGATAAACCAAGGGAGGAGGGAAGTAAGCAGTAGCCTAGAAGGTGAGGAAGGAGGGGGCTCATGAAAATGCTCGCTTTATCTTTTGCTCCCAACTATTCCCTACAAGGAACGACAATTCTAACTAAGTAGTGACCGAACGAAATGACATTAAGGGCAGAGTAAATCAAGATTGCAGAAGTGCGAATGCAACAAAACATCAAAATTACCTCCATATTGGGGTCGATGCATTGTACCAAACAGGCCATTAATCATTTTCTAGATTTTGAATTGAATATAAAGTATTTAATCAAACATTTCCCCAGCCAAACACCAGATTGCAGTTAAAGACAAAGAAGAACATCTTAGATTCAGCTGATCCAAAAGAACAGAAGATTATAGTGCATAAAGGCAGCCTGATTCTTTAGAAGCCTAGCAAGCCAATATCTGTTGCTTTCCTCTGAGGTTAAAGTCCAAACTGACCTATCAGCCATAAGAACTTAAAGAGAGATGTAAGGCTAGGACGATCTTAACCTCAAGAATTGACTCAAACTAGCTCCTGATCAAATTTCTCACATATTCACAATCTCCTTAATAATAAAATGTATATTCCCATTCCCTTACAAGAAGACGCGTCTACAGCGATCATAACCTCATGAAGTGATTCAAACTATCTCTTGATCAAATTTCTCACATATTCACTATATCCTTCTTAATAATGTATATCCCTATTCCCATACAACAACAACTACTGCCCAAAAGCAATTGGGCTCAGCAATATGAATCCTCTACATCATTCCCCTCTGTTGGGACAATTTCATTCCAACACCTACTCTCATCTCCGTATTTCAACAAACAATAAGGTCAATAACTACTACGCATCACGTGTTCATTTCAGGCTTATGTAGAATTTAGTGAAGCAAGGATGAGAAATTTAGTGATCTCGTGACTATTAAGGCAATTAAGATGGATATTTCAAAAATCAGAGAAGCAAGGATGAGAAATATCTGAATCTCAGAGAACTGTATTAATCCAACAAAAAACAAGGCCAAATTTAAAAGACTAGCCGCTAATTCCCCTCATACATACAGAAGATACAAGTATATTATACAAAAAATATACTATCAAGTCTAACCTAAATCAAGCAACGAAGATCAAACCTATATAAGCCCAGAAGCAACAAAGAAACCCGATCCATCATAGAAGCCCAAATAGTCCAACGAAACCAAGTAACACGAGCCAAACAATGTGAACCAACAGCAGGGCCTGACCCGAAACAGGACCCGAACCTCCGTTTCCAACTTCGCACATCCCAGTTTTCACAACACGCACACCGGCACATTGAGCATCGGGGCAGCCGCACCAGTACGTCACGCCATTGACGCCGCATACCGGATCGGGTCGGAAGCAATTAACGGGGCAGGACTCGGGCGGAGACGGCGGCGCGGGGCAAATGTCTTGGTTTACTTGATCGGAAGGCAAAAGAAGAACATTCATTTCATCTGAACGGACGGTAAAGGGGAAATAGACGACGGCAAATAGCAGGAATATGACGAAGGGTTGAAAAGAGGAAATTTTAAGGAATTTCATAGTTGATTTTTTTGGCGAGCCTTTGTTGTAAAGCTCGCCTTCCTCTTTTACAGAAACCCTAGCTTAAGAAATTGGAAATCCTAGAATTGAAATTTGGGGATTTCCGGCGATCAAAGGAAAGTATTTTGAACAGAAAGACAACGTCTAATTTTTTCCTTTATTGTAATGACTCCGTGAAATTCTATGGTTGAAAAAATAAAACAGGTATGATTGGTAAGTAACCTACCTGTACTTATTATAAGGTGGACCTACCCACCTAAAGTTAATATTCTTCTAATTTTAATTTGCTTTTTTATTTTCTTTCTTTTTTATTGGTTTTCTTTTTCTAACGGCAATTTTGCTACCTTAGCTTTCTATGGTTCCAATAATTATTTGTAGCCATTGACAGGGTTGGGCTGGATTCCTTATGAAAATATTCCTAAGTGAAATTTTCTTAATCTACTTAGTAAGGGCACATAGTCGAAGTTTATTGAAAAATCATTAAGAATAGAAATGAGCTTTGTCTTGTTTTAATGCCTCTTAGAAATTGTAAATGCCTATGTTAGCTTAATGCTAAGCTTCCCTTTCGCCATAAATTTGACTGTCTTTTTTTCAAAAAAAAATTGAAAACTTTACTTGCTCATTGAATATGGTCAGTTTTTGATATAAATTTAATAAAAACTTTCAAGTTCCCAAAAATTGGTTTGGGGTAGTTTTTGGGTGAAATTTTTTCTTTCACTCGCAGAATTTCAATTTTTTTTAATGCATGTCCAAATGCAACTTCAACTTCTAAAGATTATTTTTCAGAAACTCTTTCTTCAAGTTTCAATCAAATTTACGTCCAAACGCTAGCTAAAAATTACCAGACTTTGGGTAGGGGACCATTTGCATAATTTGGACAAGGATTATATGGCTTCATCGAAGTTCATGCATCGTGTGAAAATATATGGCATACGGCCAATATGATTCAAACTTGTTCTCCACCTCTAAACGAATTTATTCTCTTTTGCTGATAAGAAGAAATTTATGAAACAGAAAGTCAAGCTGGATTATTACAAAGTGGACTGATCTTGTCGAAACAGCTCCATTACCCACCGAATATTTATACCCGGCCAATAAGCAAATAACATATGCCACTTTATTTAACTACAATTATCAATAGTTAACTATAATTAACACATGATCTTAAATAATACTAATATTAAAATACTTAATAGTTTATTCTCCACTTTATTCTCTTTTTGATCACGCCCAACTATACCTTATAAAAAGGACACGCGGACGTTGCAAATATAATCTAAGTATTTAGCCCAGAGTCGAACCCACAAGGAATTAACCTATCAATTACTTTCGTTAGACTTACTAAATTCCACGGAATCAACTTCCCAAACTTTTGAATAACAATTGATGGTATTTCTACTAACTACGAATGAAAGTAAATAAGCAGCTGAAAACTAACTACCATTAAGTTATAAACAATTAAGAGAAGGTTCTAAGGTTATGATTTCCCATATTGATGGAATCCCTTCCGGTTATGCTTCACATAGAATCACCAAATCATCTCTATCAATCATGAGCGCTCCTCTTACCGTAAATCTCTCCCGAGTAATTACGATAATTTACTAGACGCTCTCTCCCGAGTTACGTTAGCTGGCTTTGTTTATTACACCTCACTTTAGATTGCACCCAAGGCTTCGTTATCCATAATCCCGCCTTTAAACCCGCAGCTATAGACCCCTCTTATACTTTGGGAGTGGTGTTGTTCAACAATTACCTAAATATGCACTCTCTCCCGAGTTATGCACACTAAATAGGCCCAGCTAATTGAGGATCCTGTCAATTAACTACAACAAGCACGTAGTTGAACAAATAGAGATTAAACTGGCAAACTATATTAACATAATCAAGAAGTTCATCCTTTAATAGGTTCCATCAAAACCCTAGACAAAAGAATTAGCTACTCATGCTAGTATTCATCACAACAATATTCAAATTCATCACAAATCGTAAAAACAAAAGGAAGAAAGGAAGAACTCGATGTTGAATTATCCTCCTTGCCTCTTGCCTCTCTTTTTCTTGCACTAAACTATGAAAACCTTGATAATCCCTCCTTGGGCGAGCTTGACCTTCTATAGGTTAAGTGAATTTACCCCCAAACTTCCAAGTTTACCCCTGAAAATTAATATTCCAGAACTGGGCTAGCGCGGCCGCGCTAGTGGCCGCGCTAGTGGCCTACCATTCTGCCTCGACCATCTGGGCTAGCGCGGTCGCGCTAGTGGACGCGCTAGTCCAGGACTTCATTTCATCTATTCTTTTTCTTGTCTTCTCGCGTACTCAGCTCCTAGGGTTTTTTCTTGCTTCAATGTAGCTCCAACCACAGCTTTAAGGCCTCATACAAGCTCCTCACTCCTGCAACGTGTGAAATTCACAATTAGAGCCTATTTTCATCATTTAACTATATTATAACATTGAAACATAATCAAGCTAGGGGATAAACAATCGCCAAATCATATAAATCTAGCCTATTATCAACACCCCACACTTAGATCATTGCTAGTCCTCGAGCAATCCACCACACTCTATAGAGGTTCCTTCACTAAGTATTATTCCCTAACGCCTCACACCAAGAACAAATCACATAAGTTACTCCTAGTAGTGAAAAATCTTAGCCTCAAAAGTCGACTCTCACGTGCCGTGAAATATTCATACTTTCTCAAGCTACTCTACACAGAAGTCAAGACTTGCCTTTCCTTCATGAATCACATACCCTCACATTCACACAAGAGAGTAGTTCCACATATAATGATATTTAGAACAATTAGGAACTTTGATAGACAAAATTTGCTCACTCTCAAAAAGAACATTCACATGCCATAAAGATGCACCATAGGCTTGCCCGTAGTGTACTACTCTACTAATCGATCCCACTCAGTCTAAGATCAATAGGACTTCACTTGGTTGTAATGTAGGCTAAGGGACGGGTAGGATATATTTGGATATAGTGACTAACCTCCCTAGGTACTTTTTAATACAATTACATTAATATTCAAAACCATACTTATGTCAACCAAACATTCCACCAAATTTTTATTTATTTATTTATTTACAACAACCCCATCCATTAGGTGCAATTATAACAAAACACCACTTATCAACCACTATATTTATTTACAACATTTTTTTTTCATGGTGCTTCTTCTTTTATGCTTCACAATTCTGCACCTTTTCTCGATTTCAATGGTTCCACTCAAAAACCAAACCATCACCCCACACTTTTGCCTTTGCATACTCTCAATACCATTCAAGTGCTTATGGGAGGTAAAAGGGTTCAAACAGCAGGCTATTCAAACAATTGGGTAAGGTTCGCATTGT